ACAGGCGGAGCGACAACCGCGACCATCGGAGCGACCCCGGCCGCCCGGCAGCGCCGCCGCTCCGCGGCGTTCACCCGGAAACGACACCCGGAGTGTTGGGAACAGGCGGAGTGACAACTGGAGCAACAGGCGGAGTGACATCCGCAATAACGACTGCAACAGCCGCCTGGCAGCGCCGCTCGGAGCACAGCCGCTCCGCGGCGTTCACCCGGAAACGACACCCGGAGTGTTGGGAACAGGCGGAGCGACAACGGGAGCAACAACCGCAATAACAACCGCAACAACCGCCTGGCAGCGCCGCTCGGAGCACAGCCGCTCAGAACACAACCACTCTGCTTTGTTCACCTGGAAACAACACCCGGAGTGTTGGGAACAGGCGGAACAACAGGTGGAACAACAACCGGAGCAACAACCGCAATAACAACCGCAACAGCCGGATGGCAGCGCCACAAGTAGACTGTGTGTTCCCACTTGGAGCACGGCCTCATCCGCCTGACAACACCCGGAGCATCGGGAACAGCCGGAGCGACAACCGCTGCCGCAACAACCGCTGCCGCAACCGCCACCGCGAGCCCAGAACCGGCACCAGCGGAGCCACCACAACGGAACCAGCACCGCGGCCGGAGCCGCCGCCGCATCCCCGAATTCCAATTTTTCAATAAATTTCCCACAAAATTCCTGGAAAAACTACAGAAAACTCCTGAGAAACTCCTGTGAAATTCCCAAAAAAGAAAAAACCAATAAATTTCCAGGGAAATTTCCCATAAAACTCCTGGCAAATTCCCAGAAAGCTCCTGGGAAAACCCTGGGCAATTCCCAAGAAGCAACACCAATGAATTCCGAGAGAATATTTCCACTAAATTCCTACAAAATTCCCAGAAAGTTCCTGGGAAAACCATGCAAGTTTGCCAAGCAACAGCGCCAATAAATTCCCAGCGAAATTTCCCATAAAATCCCTGGGAAAATTCCAGAAACCTTCCAAAAAACAATCTCAATAAATTCCTAGAAAATTTTTTCATAAAATCTGCAGAAAATCCCCACAATTTTCCCAATAAAGTCCTACAAAATTCCCATAAAGTTCCAAGAGAACTCCCAGAAAAATTGCCAGGAATATCCTATGCAAATCTGTGCAAAACTCCCAGGAAAATCCCCAAGAAGAAATCCAGAAAATTCCCAAATTCTTCCAGGGAAATTCTGGGGATAATCCCACCAAATTCCTGGCCAATTCCCCCCAAATTCT